GAGCTCTTGCTCCATGACGGGCGGGATATTGATTGACCAGTCAACAAGTAAAGAACATAGAAAAAGAAAAAGAAGAGAATAGAAGAGAAGGGAAAGTGAGGCAATCGACACAGGGAATGAAACAAATCTATCAGAAACCCAGCCAACCTGTGTCTGTCTCTCCTCTTTCTGTATGGTGGAGGGAAGAAGTGATGGATTTTGGTCCGCGAATTCTCGCGTTTCTTTTTTTTCTGCTGGAGGAGGGGCAGAAAATAACAGGGATGGCAGAAAGAAGGAGGCGGTCAGAAGGCGGTGTAGATACGTACAATTACATACAACCATACATATATAATACACAATTACACCTTACAATTACATACAGACAGGGATTTGTTGTATTCAGGAGTATACACAGTGACCCCGGAGTATACGGGAACATAATCAGCAATATAACATCATAGACATTGAATTATAGCGTGGTACAAGCAACCTATCAAGCTAATTATAAACAAGATGTACGTACGCTGTAGCTATTTTGATCTGCTCGGAAGTGAATCCTGGGTCAAAATGAGAGACTAAGCAGGTACTACAGAGACACTATGGACGCTACTATTGTCATTCTCTATTCTCGGCAGTGGAGACGGATCTGAAATCATTAATTAGTTTTTTAAATTGTAAGTACAGAGTACACTTTGATTTTACAATCAAAAATCCCACAAGGTTCAGAAACGACAGTTCCGTCGGGAATAATGCATACAGTACGGAGTACGTTGACGTTGAGGGGGGCAAATTATTTGTTGGAAATGAAGCTGTACAGTACTTTTGCCATGTTCTGGTATTCGTACTGAATACTCCAAATTGCACCGGAAGAAGAGTAGAATACAGCATCATCTCATCATGAAGTGTTGTTGTTGGTCCCTCATGGGTATATGGTGGGGTTAATGACCAAATGTAAACCCTGAGCTGAAAGATGTTGGTTTTAACCCGAAAGGGAATAGTAGAGAGGGGCGAGGAATACATACAGTATGGTACGGAGTAATTATGGTACAGGTGATTGATTCACTGGGTTTGCCGCCACTGGAGCGGATCTCAAACAATCCATACACCGGTCAATGGGATTGAGATTGTATTTCTGTCCATGACAGCATTGTTCTACGTGTTCATTACCCCCCGATATGGGAGAAAAGGGTTTGCATTTGAAATCGGACGTTAAGCCCCTGTCTGCTCTACATAGTACAGAATACAGGCAGCGTCTGGCTTGGATTTGTTCCTCGATGAATATAAATATAGTCTGCATAACCCATGGTGTGCCACGTGATGGCCCGATGTAATTTGTTCATACCGATTTGCATGTATGGATTGTATTTGTACATACTTGTACGGTTGTACTGAGCTGCGGCTACGGCTGCCGACCACGCGGTATGTAATGCAGACAGCCAGCCCTTCATGCTGCTGTTCTCCTCCTGTTCTCCTGTTGAGAGCTGCTTGAGATGATTAGAATATAGCCTCAAGCTAGGGTAAACTTTTTTCCATGGTTCTTTTCTTATTATCCTCCTGCTGTACGCCGTAGACGTGGATGCGTTAATGTGTTACTGATACACAAATACACAAACCACAATACACAGTACAACAATACCGTATGTACCGATTGATCAGTGCCTCCTATCGGCCACCCACTTTTGCTTGTTGGTCCTCCCTTTTTTTTATTTTCTTTTGACGGAGAATATTTAATATTGAATCAATTTTTGATGAAGCTTCTTATAAAAAGAGACGGATAGTAAGAGAGAAAAGAAAAGAAAAAAAAAACAAGCAGGAAGGGATGATTCCAACAGAGAATTAATAATCATTGCCAGACAGATTGCAGTGGTCAAGCCAGGAACAAAAACTTCCGATCAAAATTTACCCAGCAAAAAGACCCAGAAAAGGAAAAATAATCAATTCATTTTTTTTTTTTTTTTTTTTTTTTTTTTTTTCGTCGTCATTTTACAGTATTGGCGTTTTACATCGCTTTCTTCTTCTCGTCTTTTCCTTTTCCTTTTCTTCTTTTTTTCCCTCTTCTTTTCCTCTGCTGCTGTCTTGTCTGTCTTCTGTCTGGCGGCTATCTCTTGTCTCTCTCTTTTTTTTTTTTTTTTTTTCTTCCTCTCTCACTATCTCTCTCTCTACTTTCCCTCTCTTCTTACTCCCCCCCGAAAAAAATATAAAAAAAATACCCTCTATCAAAAATCAATCCAATCCAATCAATCAATCAGTATTGACTGTGTTTCTCCGTTGACGGATCTCTCGCTTTATCCAACCTTCTCTCGCTATCCGCCTTCACTCTCTCGTTTTCTTACTAACCTCACTCTCTTCCTTCCCTTCCCTCCTCTTCTTTCCTCTCCTCACTTTATCGACCATTCGGACTGATTGACACGATCCCACCGCCATCCATGCTCTGAGGTTCTGCCTGTCGCGTTCTCCCCCTCCTCTCGTCCACCCTACGTAAGTCCTTTTTTCTTTTTTTTTTCTTGTCTGGTCATCTGTATCTGTTTGTCTATCCGCGTCGCGCATCACGTGTTTCCCTCTTTCCTTTTTGGTTCCTCCCACTACGGGAACCGGTGTCTGCACACAAGTCTCCGGCCGAACCTCACCTCATCTGTATCTGGAAAAAAAAAAAAAAAAAAAAAAAAGAAAAAAAGATTGAAAAACCAAGAATTTCTCTTTCTTTTATCCTTCTCTTCTTCTTTTTTACTTTGAATGTGTTAATCTCTGGTTGTGTTGTTGAGCCCTGTCGCTTTTGTCTTTTTTTTTTTCCCAACGCCCCTCTGCGCTCTTCTCACGCTCTCCCCTTCTGCCCGTCTTTTCCACACAACCACAATCCACGCCCACTTTTACCCACCAGCACCACCTTCATCGTCTTTCTCTCTTCGCCTTCTCTCGCTTTTTTCTGTCATTATTTTCATTTCGGCATCCATCTGCTTTCTTCAGCGTTTTTTGCTTTTGTCCTCTTTCCTTGATTTCTCTTTTTTCTTCTTTTTCTTGTTGAAATTTTCCGTTTATCACCACCCCTCTTCCGCGACACATGTTCTCTTAAAAGAGACCAGAAAAAAGACCAAAGAACAGCTGGTTGACCCATCGTTCCAGAAGAAGGCAGAGCGATGATTAGCCTCCGGGTGGAACAGCACTCAGATTTCTCGAGACTCCGTCACAACCGTTCTTCCCGTGGAAACGACGACACCAGAGCCTTCGATGGCAATGCCGATTGCCAGTGAGAGCACTACCATCAACTCCGTTACTACCACCATGACAACATTTTCTACTCCGGTCACCGCACCCAGATCGATGCCCAACAACCAATCTGCGTTGGCAGCATCTTTTACGAATTTCCTCACCGTTTCTATCCATCAGATCCTTTTCCTCCGATCGGTTTATCCGCGAGCTACCTTTTTACCTGTTCGGGCCTATAACTATCCGGTTCGGCAATCCCGCCATCCCAAAGTTTGTGACTATATCAATGAAGCTTCCATCGCGGTCGGCACCGAGATCTTAAAGGGTACCATCACCGCTGTCAGTATCATCATCTCCTCCCTCCGCACAAATCAGCCTCTGGAACGATATGCCTTTGATCTCTCGGGGTTCCCCCGTGTTCCCACCGGTGAGGTGAACACCACCTTTGAAGACAGAGAAGAGGACTCTTCCAAACCTAGCACTCCCGTTTCCGATCGGGGTGCTCCTTCGCCTCCCACCCCCGATCTCGAGGCTCAGTTCCGTGCCTGTCTCGCCCGGCTGGCTTCCGCCTGCGCGCGGTTGACCCCTCTGCCCCGAGATGATGAGTTCAGTTTTACCGTCTGCATCGAAGTCCGAGAAGATGCACTCCCTCCCGCGGGAACCACCAAAGAAGAACAGACATGGATTGTCGCTGAGCCGGGCAAGGTCCACCTCCGTTCCTGCACGGCCCCCTATTCCGTCTCCAAGTTGGGAAATGGCGAGCCACAACAGCCGCCTCCCCGAGTATCCAATGGCCGTGCCAAAACAGTGCCGGTACGACGTGTCGAAGCCGGTGAGCTTCGTCTAGAGTTATGGGTGGAAGAGGCACGACAGAAATTCAATGAACCGGTGGATTCAGAACATCCGCCATGAACGTCTTCCCAGTCAGTTTGTTACTGAGCTTTCTGATGGTTTCTTGTCGTTTCTTCTTTTGCAACCACTCTCGAACTTGTTTTTCTTAACTTTTACCCCGCATATGTTTTTCTTTTTTTCTCTCTCAACTATCTCTCTTCTCTCTCCGTTCCTCATTCAAATTTGTTTTTCTGTTTTTTTTTTTTTTTTTTTTTTTTTTTTTTTTTTTTTTTTTTTTTTTT